TGCAAAGAAAGGTCATGTAGAGTTGGGAGAGGTCTCATTTTAATCAGAAATGTGCGGGCTACAATCATGCCTCATTAAGAACGGTTCGAGTTATTTTTTGGGGTTTCTGAAAAACTCGTTTTCTAGAAAATCAGATCTTCGAAGGGCTATGCGAAAGCCGCATGGTCGTATTCGTAATCAGCATGGTCGATAACCTATAACCCACTAGATTCCGAGCAAAAAGCGTTTAATCACTTCGTGGGGTTCCCTCGTCAGAACTAAGAACGCTTCAACTGCGGTTTTTGCCAGTTTGAAGTGTTCTTGCTTACCTTAGCTTTAACCAAGCTTTTGGTAAGAAATGTTTCTAGGCAAACCTCCCTTTTATTCAAATAAACCGCCATAGGCCGCGTTTTTCGTCAACAATATTGGGAAAAATAACTACCTTGATAAGAGGATTTTGTAGTCTAAAACCGGTGGCAACCGCAAATTTCATTCAAAAATAACCGCCTTCATCTGCGGTTATTTCGAAAAAGGGAGTGATCAAATCGCTCCCTCTCGGACAAATAACAGCCGATCTAAGCGGATTGCAGTTGTTTCTAACCTCAGTGAACCGCAGTTTTCAACAAAAATAACCGCCTTTAGCCGCGGTTTGATCGAAAAGAGAGCGACTGGTATTTTGGACCGGTGTCTTATATGAATTTTCGTGTACGGGATGCTACTGTGAATGTTTATTCAACTAGGCGATTGTAAGTTTATTCAGAAGTAGACTAATTTCACAAGATCTTTTTCTGCAAATGAGTACATCATTATCAAATGAACACTATACAGGTATCGCAAAGGAAGCATCTTAAAGGGATCAGAGTATGTGGTCTTGTTTTTACTTTCTTGATGAGTTACCGTTACTCATTAACCCAAGCATCAGAAAAAAATCTAGTATCGCCTGATTCATCTAGATTACTAGATTTTTACTCGAGTGCAACTATTGGGTGACGACCGTGGAGCTTTAGTAATGGGGCGATTGCTAAATTTCTTCTAGTTGCAATCGATTTATCGCCCGATAATCGATCGATTTAACTATTGCTAATTGCACGTGCAGACGCTTCTAGTTAAAAGTCTCTTTTCCAACTAGTAATCTAGATGACAACTAGTCGTGCATCACCCGATTACAGACAAAATATATCTAGATTTTTTCCATAAGTGATTTTTGCTTGGGAACTAGTAACTCAGTTAGTCACTGTTATTCGATAATGGGTAATAGAATCAGTTACTGTTACTTTGTAATTGGTACTTTAGTAACTCAATCAGTTATCTTGCTGGATGACCAGTAACTGGTCACTAAATGGGTTTCCTTGCTTGGTAATCGATAATTCAATGAGTTACCGTTACTCACAAAGTAATGAAAAAGTAACGGTAACTGCAGATGCCTAGTCGTAACACCTCAGTGGTTTCAATATTTTTATTAAAAGTCTTATCCTGTTCAGTACTATATTCTCTGAAATTCTGACGCTGTCCGGGCAAAGTTTTGGATAAAGTGAGTGACTTTTACATGGAATAGCCGATATACAGATGTTATATTCTTGAATATATCTACTTATGTTTCTTTTATTTTCAGACTGAATGCTTTATTAGTAACAGATCAATCCGTTCTGCCAGCAGGTTCGCAGTGTCAACTATCAACATGTAGTTCCAAACCTTCGAAATGTTCGGCAAATTTCGACTGTGAATGTTTAGCATTGACAAATGGTGGTGGTAGTGGAATGTGTGCAAATCCGATTATTTCCTGTTCAAATTTAGCTCCATGTCAGAATAATCACACCTGTTCAGTATTAGGCACAGTTTGTGTTAATAGCACAAAATGTCAACAAAACGTTTGTTATCCCGTAGCTTTAGCTATACCACAAATGTGCCCGCCAATAATCTATGACAATATTGAACGCGCTTCGGCTATAGATTATTTCTGGTTAGATGCCTCAGTTAGATCTGATTTAGATCTTTATACATTTAACAGTTCGGGATGGGTGGGTAGTTCCAACTATGTTACATCATGGACTGATAAAGTCAAAAATATTTCAATGTCAACAAGAACGTATAGTACTCCGCCTGGTTTATATGTCCCAGGTGTTAGTCCATCAGTTAGATTTTATCGTGGTGGTACCACTAGGAATACAGGTTTAGATGTAGGATCTTTGGTAGGTGGGGGCGACCAAACGTCAAAACTGAGAAATTATACTATCGTTATTGTGGCTAAAGTTAATGCACATAGTAGAATATTTTCAGCTGGTAATGGTCCTTATAGTAATGTTACAATGTGTTTCGAAATTAATCCAATTACTGGATTGTTAAGTTTAGAAGATTATTATGCAGGAAATTCCATTAATACAACAGCTTCAATTATAATAAGTGAAGCTGAAAATACTAAAAATGCAGCCGTATATAGTGTGGTTGTTAGCAATAGTTCAACGTCATTTTATTACAATATGGTTAATAAATCCTCAGTACCGTTCACTTCAAATAAAGGCTTTTTTGGTCATTTCAATGGGTTTGCGTTAGGTTCTGTTTGGGGTTGGGTTGGTCGTGGATATAATGATGATTTTAATTTGTATGAAATTAGAGTGTATAAAGAAGCTCTGAAACAGAGTCAAATATCTTCTTTAGTTACAGCATTACGTGCAAAGTGGAATATCTAAATAAATTTGTACTTTTTACACTAACTTATATTGAATATAAGGGATGAGGAAAATTATTTATTCGTGCATATATTTTTTTCCTTCCATATTTGTTCATATTTTTGTTCTATTGTGATGAGATATATAGAATAAAATAGAAAGGAGAATAAACGCAATCAGCTGATGTCTATATAGATACATTTCTACACTAATCAATTAAGTTTTTATGGTTTTATCTTATAGAAATATCTGTTCATTGAATTAAACAGTGAGAAGAATGAAATAATCATAAAACTAAAGCAATGATGAACCAATTTGAAGGGCATGTAAAGAACGTATTTGAATGTATCTGTTTGCTTTCAATTATTCCATTCGTGCAGCATTTTCGCAGCTACAGCATATTAATATGGAATATCCCAGGGCAGTGTCTTGGGGCCGTTGCTCTTCCTCATGTTCATTGATGATTTGCCTGTTGATTTGAATACTGTGTGTAAACTATTCGCAGATGATGTGTCATTGTTTTGCGTGGTTAAAGATATGCAGCAGTCAGCTTTTCATTTAAATGCGGATCTACAGCGTGTGTTCACATGGTCTGTGTTTGGTAATTGTGCAGTACCTCTGCCATTATTCATCAATGGAGTTCAACTAACTTATGTTGAAAAGCATGTTCACTTGGGTTTGATTCTAACATTTCATCTTAACTAGGCACCGCATATTGATTCTATTGTCGCCAAATGTGCTCCTCTTATAGGCTCTATGAAATTCTTGAGTAGGTGGATTTCTCATCAGGCTCTCGACACGGTTTACCATTCTTTTGTATTTACTATGTTTAACTATGCTGTTGTAATTTATGGAGGTACTTACGATAAACACATTGAGCATCTCTCTAGGATTCCGTATCAAGCAGCATTAGCTGTCACGGGAGCTATACGAGGAACTCGTTCAGACCTCGCCTTGCGAGACTCATGTTGGCTTTCGATCATAGAACTATATCGTGTTAAATGTTTATATAATGTGGAGTCTCGAATTAGCAGCATTAGTACCATCTTTCAAAAAAGTTTCTGTAGTCTCAAACGAACCATTGAATAGGCAAGTGAAATGAGGCATTGTACCAGAGCATTGTAGCACGACTCTTCCGAGCAGAATATGTCATTGGAACTTGTCTCTGTCAAAAGTGGTAAGTAAGATGTACTATTGCTAGAGCTTGAGAAGATCTATCCGGAGCTGTCAGAGATGAAGCCAGTGAAGAAACCAGTGCGCACAGCATTTTGTCTTATTTTCCCGTGGTGCCATACGAGCAAGGAACTAATTAGCGCTTCTGTGCTTGACTTTGTCAAAACTGAAAACTAAGAGGTGCAATCGATAGAGCAGGAGCAGATCTATCGGGAGCCATCAAACATATACTTGGAGCCAGTGAAGGAACCGGTCGCCATAGGATATTCTCATACTTACCTTTGTTGCCGTATGATCCAGGAGCTAATTAGCGATTTTCTCCGTGATGACTTTGTCAAAAGCGAAGAGTAGTATGTGCAATGTATGTATGTACGTCCGTCACACTGCCACACGACTGTATGTATGTACGTCCGTCACCGTGTGTGCTTATGTCCGTCACACCTCTGTACGGACAAACACACAAACACACACACAAACATTTTCGCTTTTTCGTATGACCATAGTCTTACAATCAATGGAATTATTGTTTTCTTTTAATCTTTTCACAAAAAGAGTATGCCATCTGCTGAGAAAGAATAAAAGTTGACGATTCTCTTGTATACACACAACTAAAACAACTCAATTCACTCAGAATATTTTCATATCTTGATAATGTCATATATTTAGAATTCTCGGGAATGAATCATATATCTGATTCATGTTCATTTTTCAATCACTTCGACTCAAATTGTCTTCCAAATCTCAAAGAATAACAATAAATTTATATAGATGTTTTTTTACTCATTATTTATCGAAAATGACAATCATTCTCTCAAACAATTTTCATCTCTCCTATGCGAACACGTACTGTTCAAATCAAAAAAGAAATCATTAAGAAAACTGAATGTTTCATCAAATAAATATGCGGGCGTTTCTTTCGATTCATATGCTTTTGTATCAAAAAGCTATGATATTCAACATTTATCAGTTCACATTTTTAATGATCAGGTTAAAGTGGTATAACTATAAATAATGAATGATGTTGAGGTTTATCTTTCTTTGTAGGATCTTCTGATTATATTAGACAATTTTCCATTACTAAATTATTTGAGTGTAGAATTGGCTAAAATATCTGGTTTTGTAGATATCACAGTGAACAGATACATTGTTGAATTTGAATTGGATAAATCGACATCTTTCCTCTCATCATATCGGTCATTAACAGAAGAATCGTTTATAAATATCAATAAATGAAATATTGTGTTTAATTTTAATGAAGAACGAAATCATTATTCTATTTTTACGTTACCAGCGACGTCACATGCATCATATCACCTTCATTCACTCTCGCCAACTTTACTTTATACTAGTTCTAATCATGATTATTCGAGTATCAGAAAAATAGAAATGTTTGAATCATTCTCTCAGCCCATATTATTCACTGAACTGGCTAAAATTCCAACACAGAACTTTTCGACATTAACAAGTCTTACAATCTCAAGCGAAGCTAAAAATATTGTTAAAAGTGAAACTTCATCTGAAAGTAAATTAAGATTAAGTCATCTCAAATATTTGGAAATTAAGCAAAATATATCCTATCTTGATCAACTTCTATTACTTGTACCAAATTTAACAAGTTTAGTAATAAACGATATTCAATGTTTACAGAATATTTGTGTTAAGAATAATATTGAATATTTAGGATTATCTGTTTGTAATCAGTTATCCAAAGTACGAATGATATTAAATAATTCTTTTCAAAATATACAAAGTCTAGAAATACTATTTAAATTCATTGAATCGACTTCAAGCAGCATTAATGATAAAGACATTTCTATGTTTTATGAAATGATTAACAATATGAAAAATTTGGTTACTCTTCGTATTCTTGTATCACCCATAAATGAAAATGTAGATTATCATACAAATATTATGTATGAAACGCTGCAAGCTAAATATGAGTATTGCTTAATGCAAACGATGATGGACGGAGAAATGAAAAATGTTTTAGTATGGAAGTAAATCAATCGAAAAACGTCGATGATTGAATATCCGTCACAACTGTACATGCCTATACCTAACAAGGGGAAAAAAGAAATTTCCTTGAAAAAGTGTTAAACGTTGATTAATGCAAATAATATAAATTTTTGCTTCCTAAATAAATATCAATAAATTGAAGAGAGTGGATAATTATGATATTTGGATGAAATTAGTTTTTATCACTAGTAATATTAGATATTATGTGTTTATATGATACACACTTTGTAAACTACTGAATTCTACACAATTTGAAGAGTTAATCTCTCATGTTTGATATCATCGGTAAAGCGTCGCTCTGTCATTCATTTTTTTATTCTATTTGACTATCTGATGGGGCCCATCATGCTTATCCCCTTGAGGAAGGGGTTACTTTTTAAAGAAAAAGGAGATTTTTGATTTCGTGTGAAGATGCATGAGCTAACGTATGCGAAGATGAGCGAAAAACAGACGCTACGTGACATTAGTAGACGACGATGACGTAAGAAAAGAGAACAGAAGTGATGATCGTAAGTGCAGGAGGAAAAAAGGTGAATGACGACACAGTACAGATAACAGTGAAAGGATTAACGGTCTGTGTGCTAGTACAGGTCATAACAGTATCATAAAAGGTATGCGCAAATCAATTACAAGTTGAATCAACACGGGAGACGTATATATATACGTCTCCCGTCACCAGGACCGCCTTTCTGTTAGGGCTTGGATTTATAGATAACTTTGGATAAAGAATCTGCAAATTGTATATAAAAAACTATTCATCTTCCGAAGGTTTTACCGATTTTCTGGACTTATTTGTCTCCTTAATACGCGTTTTACCATTGTGCCTGAATTTCTTTAAACATATTTTTATTCTGTTAATTAGTTTTAGCCCAAGCGGTATGTTTACGATGACTGTTTAAGTGCCATTCTTATATCGTTTTCATAACGGAGCTTACGGACTGTTTTTACAACATAAATTAACGGTGTAAAAACGGTGCGTTAATGGTGACCGTAAACGGCGTGTTTTTACACCGTTAACGGGCCGTTATGATGACCGTTAACGTATCGTTTACACGGCGTTGGCATGTGGTAGAACATATGAGTGATTCTGGTGTTTATTGTACCATTCTTTTTCAAAAAATGATCCCAAAAAACAGTAAACGGCTGTATTTAATAGTTTCATTAGCGGATAGAGGATACTTCAAAGTGTAAGACCAATTAGTTTTGCAAACCATCAGTTTTTTCTTTTTTTGGATTTAGAGACCGAAAGGTTTCTAGAAAGTCATCAACTCTTTGTACACCAGACACACTAATGTTAATCTTCATACTTTGACTGGATAGTCTGCAGTCGCCGAAGAGTATTTGCTGTGAGTTTGAAGTCGAATTGATGCTCCTGGAATGATTTATGAGTTTTTCTGGGAAAGGACCTCATATCTCAGAACCTCGTTTCTAGAGACCACGATCGTAAAATAGCTATATTTCACTGACCACTACCAGCCAACTCATAAAAGATTATATTGTGGATAGAGTAGAGTTGTGGCTACATTTTAGTAAAAAGAAAAAATTTTCATCTCTCTTAGGCCAGGAGCTATTGTACGAAAAAGAGATAAATCGCGTATATCCCACGAACCATCTAGTAAAAGAGGCCCAAACTTGGTGAGTGATCATTTTGGTTTGCTATTAATTTTTGCTTGAGTAAGTCAATCAATCCACTATTTAAGGGGGGGCACACCCGTTCTTTTCCCGGATTTATAGTTTTTGATAAAAAAATTTTTAAGTTTTTTTCGGATTTTTTGCCCTATTCTTAAAACTTCAATAAAAACTTCAATTTTTGATATGAAGAGTGGATTCTAGCGTAGTTCGATAGAGAACATTACTTTGTATACGGAGAAACCCTTTTCATCGTTCCCGAATGAAGTTTGCCGTAGAAATTTAGCGTTCGTCTTCCCGAGGAAACTTCAGAGCTAAAAGTATTTTTCACCTCGCCTTACGGCTAGTTTCGCTCGAAGCAAGCATTTCGAAGCAAAATTAGTTCAGAATCGAATTTTGGAGTCCCGGACGAGAGCTTTTTTTAAAATTTTTTGTTTTTGATTTTTAAATTAAAAAATACGAAATTTTAAAATTTTAAAAACTCTAAAATTTAATTTAAAAGTCAGAAACAGAAAGTTTTAAAAAAAGCTCTCGTCAGAGACTCCAAAATTCGATTCTGAACAGCTTTGGCACTCAGAGTTTTGCTCCAAAATGCTTGGTTCGGGCGAAACTAGCCGTAAAGTTAGGTAAAAATATCTTTGGTGAGCCAAAAAACCAGCGATATTTTCAAGTTTTGAATTTTTTCTTCAAGCCTTCCCGGTTTGTAGAGGACACTTCGAAGTGTATGTTCGGAGGTTTTTTCGGCTTAATGAAATTATTTGGCTGAGAAAAAAATTAATTACTTAAACAATATTGTTAAATTTTCGACTTAACAGACTTACCGAGCGATTAAAAACGAATTCTAAAACGTTTAAGGTAGTTCATATTGTAGCTCGTGAAATTCTCTGTCAGATGAGGTATTCTTGAATCTTTTCGTTGCGTTGCTATTTTATAAATAAGACTTTATGCTAGTAGAGTAGGCTAAATTAACGTTAATTAGTACTAATTAGCCAATATCAGGAAGGAAAGAACAAAAATTCTTGCATAATTTCTCGTAATAAATATTCTCCACACATTTCTCTATCGATCTAGGCAAGAACCAAGCTTTTGTGATGAATGGAGGATGGACAGGAATTTTTTTAATAATAATCCCTTGTTCAAATTTAACAATATTTTTTTAAGTAATTTATTTTTTTCTCAGTCAAATAATGTCAGTAAGCCGAAAAAACTTCAAGACATATACTTCGAAGTGTCCTCTACAAACTGGGAACGTTAGAGAAAAATCTAAATGGGGGGATCCCCCCCTTAAGACTAAAAGCCTTGGTCTTTATATAAATGTAGTGTAGTTGTTGATATCATTTTGAAAGAGAGACCTTTTCTTTCAGAATTAAGATGAAATTTGTCTTTAAAATAATTGTGAAAATTGGTAAACAGTGAAAAAAGGTCTCAGACCAGTCTGTGGAGATAGTTATCCATAGCTAATAAAAAACAATGCAGAGGTCATTTGAATATCCATGAAGGTATTGTTTCTTAATTTTTGACGATAGTTACTGGACTCTTTTCAGTCCTAATAGATACAGGATAGATCAAAATCTGCTTGTTCTCATTCAAAAGATATCTCAACGTATTTTTTCGCTATTTTAAGAAAGTTCCTAAAAAACCTAAAACTGATCGTAGGGTAATTCGGCGCTGATTTATTCAAATTAATAACTACAAGTCGTATAAGTTTCTGTATATTGTTAAGTTGTTAGCACTTCTAATTGTAGATATTCATAAACGTAGAAACCTACTGTCCCAAAAGTCCCCGAGAAGAGTAATTTCTTCGTACTCCTTTATTTTTATCAAAACAAATCAACCAATTTTATTTCATATGATAGGCATCACCGTGAAGTTTTCATCGATACGGATGAACTTTATAATTTTTGTCTAAAATACAAAAAATACGTTTTTTCAAATTTTATTGAAAAAACTGAATATCGTTGAGTTTTTGATCGTTTCAAGTTTTTACAATATTCTGAGTTTTGAAATTTTTCAGTATCGTTTTATTGTTACTTTTTTTCAGATATCCTCATAAAAAGGGATAAAGTATTAAGTTAATATATCAAAAAAATAAAGTTAATAAAATTTAAAACTAAGAATATGGAAACGATCGAAAAATCAACAATACCCAGTTTTTCAGTGAAATTAGAGAAAACGTAGGTTTTGTATTTCAGACGAAAGTGATATCTTTCAACATTATTTGCTAAGTTCATCGATAATTTAATAATAAACTTTCGATAATACAAATTGAGGAGCAATATACATAATTGCTCCTCAATTTGTATTAACTATACTGTGGAAGTTGACGTATATAAATACGTATATAAATTGACGTATAGTCCAGGATTCTGGCGTGAGGTCCATTTTTTTCTTAGATTTTATTTGTTCGAGTTATACTTTCTATGCTTTCAAGATCTTTGTTTTACCTTAAACAGTTTAGGAACATTGAGCAAAACACTGAGTTGTTCAGTTGCGCTGCAGATTGTCTGTTCTCTTGCAGGATTTCTTTGTATCAAAAGACATTTTTTCCTTGTGTAGACTTTTTTGAATTCTGTCAACTTCACGGTCACACATAACATAAAAAACCTTCATTCTTGATTTCTTTTCTTATGTAAAACTGTATACAAACAACATCTTTTTTGTGTTTTTTTCAAAAAGCGCATAAGTTAAAGAAAAAGACACATTTTTTCATCGGAAAGACAAAATAAGTGTTACCTATTTTTAAAAAAAGGTATTGTATTCTATGTGTATAAAATGAGTACTATCACTACTCGAAATCAATGTAATGATCTTTCTCGAGAAAATAAAGAAAATAACACATTAATATGGTTAGATCAATCGATCAATGATTCCGAGGATTCAGTGCGTATTCAAACAATATTACGTGAACTAAACAATTATGTTCAATTTTACACTGATCTTCGGCTATGTATCAACTATATTCACTCCGTTAAAAATGAGAAAATATTTCTTATTATCTCTGGATCATTAGCTCAAACAGTACTACCGGACGTACATTCAATACTGTCGGTTTATTTCATTTTTATTTTCTGTCATAAGCGTGAAAATCATATGACACTTTTAAATCAATATTCGAAAATTATTAATATATTTACGAAAGTAGATACATTAACAAAATCAATTCGCGATATCATTCGTTCAACATCGAAACAAACTTTGGCATTTAACTTGTTTGATCAACAAAAACAAAAAACAGTACGAGATTTATCAAATGATTCCGCTTCATTTCTATGGTATCAATTGTTAATCGACGTTTTAAAGCAGATGCCACAAACTGATAATGCTGAACAGGAAATGCTCAGTTATTGTCGTAGTTATTATGAAATAAACGACGATAAAAATGAACTTAAAAAAATTGAACTATTCTATCAAACATATAAATCGAATAAAGCAATTGAATGGTATACGGATGAATGTTTCCTATATAAACTGCTGAATAAAGCTTTGAGAACAGAAGATATCGAACTCCTCTATTTATTCCGCTTTTTTATTATTGATCTATGTGCTCAGATAGAATGTGATAGTAAACAGCTGTTGGACATCGAAACATTAACACTTTATCGTGGACAAAAAATAGCGATACAAGAATTAGAAAAATTAAAACAAAATGTTGGTATTCTAATATCAACAAATGGTTTTCTTTCAACAACACAAACACTTAGAGTAGCTATTGAATTTACTAAACTAACACGTGATACGGATGAATTAAAAACAATTCTGTTCGAAATAAAAGTTAACCCATCACAGCTTAAAACCGTTATATTTGCTGATATAGATCAAAAAAGTACAATGAAAGGTGAAAAAGAAGTTTTGTTCAGTTTAGGAGCTGTATTTAAAATCGAGTCAGTCGAATATGATACAGAAATGACATTATGGAAAATTCAAATGGTGGCAACAGACGAAGGATCAAAAGATGTTGAAGAATATTTGAAGTTACAAAAACAAGAAACAGAAGAATATACACCAACTATTTTATTCGGTCGTCTTCTACTGATCGAAATGGGACAGATTGAAAAAGCTGAGAAATATTTTTATACATTACTAAAGACGTTGCCTAAGGAACATGCAGACTTGGCTGCGGTTATAGATCAAATTGGGAATGTATTTTACAAAAAAGGTGATTTAAACTCAGCATTAGAGAAGTACAAAGAAGCATACGAATTACGTTTGAAGCGTTTACCGTTTGGTCATCCTCATTTGGCAGCCTCACTGAACAATATAGCGAACGTGTATGACGATCAGGGCAACTGTGAACAAGCCTTGAATTACTACGAACAAGCTAAAGCTATTGATGAAAAAAATTATTCGGATATTGATCACTTAAATAAAGCTCGTACTATGACCAATATTGCTTTAGTATATAAAAAGAAAAAAGACTACAATACAGCCCTGAACTACATGAGAAGAGCTTATGAGATGCATAAAAGGCTTTTGTCGTCTCACCACCCAAAAGTTGCAAACAGTCTTTGGAATATCGGTAGCATCTATGATAAAAAAGCGGAATACAATCAAGTACTAAAATATTATACTCAAGCATTTGAAATTGAAACGAAGATTTTGCCTGATGACCATATTGATTTAGGTAAACACTTTGCATGGATCATTGACATATACAAAAGGAAAGGTGACCATAATGTCGGACTGGAATTCTGTAGAAAACAAATTGCGCTCCTAGGTGAAAACCATTCTAGAACTGCTCACATTTTCATGAGTATGGGTAATTTATTTATTGAAAAAGACCCTGATCAAGCTCTTAGCTATTATGGACAAGCCTTGGTTTGTACACCATTGGATCAGGCAACGAAAATGAAATCTCTTCAAGCTATCAGTACACTCTATTATAATTATGGCATGTTTGAGGAGGCTTTAACCTATCACCAAAAAGTGCTAGACATTCAACAAAGTCGATTATTCTCCGAGAATCATCCAGATATCGGCTGGACATTACAGTGTCTGGGACAATGCTATTTTCAAATGGATAATTATACAGCAGCGCTTAGTTACCTACAAAAAGCACGACAAATTTATGAGTCAAACTACTCGAGAGATCACGAGAAAGTGACAAGAATTCAAAATGACATAGAGCGAGTAAAAACAACAGAGAAAGGAAACTCTCTTCCCCTACATTGGTCTCCCAGTATTTCTCCTCCATCATCGAATACTTCTATCACTAACACATCCAAAGTTGTCGTTAGCTCGCCGTTACGGGATGTTAACAATAAACAAAGTAAAACATGCACCCTACAATAAATATGTTTTTTGAGCCAGACCGAGTTTCACTTCTGTGTTTGCAATAAGAAGTCATGATGGACATGAATGATATGATGCGTCTCTACAGGTGCCGTAAGGTTTTTTCTGTTGAGCAAAGGATGGGGGTGATTATTTGATGGAGTCGGCCCCTGCCTGAATTTCATCGACACATAGATGATTAGATGCAGAAAGAATAGGAGAATATTTCCAGGCGCTCGGCAGAACTCAGAAAAAATTGGGTCAAATCAGCTGTCATGAAAGTACTGCTCCTTTTGATATGTATTATGATCATATTTTTGAATGTGTCCCTCTCGGCTTCATACCTTACCAGAACTATTATATGTCATTCGAAAGCTCTTTTTCTGCGCTATATGTCTGTATATCACCTACACGGAAATAATAGTTCTGAGGCCACGTATGTGTAGAAATACTTCAGGCTATGGAAAATGCTTTTCTACGTGGAAAAAGTCCAAGATAATCTATGACACCCTTTCTCAACTAGCCACGACGATGAATATTCCATTCAATAGAGAATTTCTCGCGCTACAATTTCATATATACAATAGGGAAAAAAGGCTCGAGAAGATTTGAGATACTTAGCTTCATTTTGACAAGAAGGTAAGCCACCGCAGTATGACGTGAAAGACACGGGGAAGTATGTAAATTCAATGTTGATAAGATGGTCATCAAATTGCTCTTTACTTAAGTTAGTCAGATTGTAATGATCTTCATTCGTTAGGTTCACCCGTGTCATCAAAATTAAATCGTTTTTCATTATCCACCATTATTGTGACTTTTGCGAACAATCCGAGAATATCACCACACGATAAGGAAATCTTCTGGATAGAATGAAGACGAAGTCGATCAATAGCTCCACGTGTTAAACGATTTCTCATATGCTGCCGACACCAACGTGCACCACTCGGTACAAAGACATTTTTCGTGAAAAACGAATACAATCGATCATCCTTACTAACGGGCATTGTTACACCAGAAATCTCGATCTTACAAACACAGCACATGGTAGAGAATAACAAATGGATAGCCTTAGAAATAGACTTCGGTTAAAAAATAGATTATCAACTTTTAAGAAATCTCGCATAAAAATAATAAGTCTCTTACTGATGCGAAGACATAGTACAGTTCGCTGGAATTTCACAAACATTATTAGTTTGAACGGACTGAACGACTGAATAGATGTACTCATTCGAATCTCGGACGATGGATTCAAAGGATCGTTATCTAAATAAATTATATAATAGTTCTAAAATCTGATCTAAGCTTCGGTTCCGTGGGAGGTTTTCCAGAGATCCAATCGACGGCATAATACTTGTATGACAGTAAACTTGTCCTAAACGCTCCTGCAAGGGAGAAACTGAACTCATCGGGAAGAAATTGTTCGAGCATGCTAATCCAAGGGTGTTATAAATCAGTTCTGTTAGGATCTTTTACATCAACAACAGTTTTTTCATCACATATTAACATAGGATGTCGAATATAAGAAGATATTTGCTTCATTTTTCAAACGAACAGAAGATATTTACGTATCGCTTACACTATGTCAATTTGTCTATACATCAGTATTTCAATGAAGCGCTGCATAGCATGCGCAAAAAGGAAACTATATATCAGTATCTTCTTATATTCTGCATGAATTCTTGTCCCTCGATAGCGAGAAAATCAGAAAGTCAGAAAAGAGCATTTACCAGGATATATTGATAAATACATGTACACTTTCCGGTAGACGCAGAAAGTCAGAAAAGAGCATGTACTAGTGTATATTAATATATGCATGGATATTTCCCGGCAGAGGCAGAAAGTCAGAAAAGAGGCTTTACCAGTATATATCATTAGTGTGGACAAACTGTTTAAAGACAAATTGACGAATCGCAGTTTTTGAGCGTAAAAATGATGGAATAATTCGCATTTTACCATTGTTTTGCGAATTCGTAATTCAGTGCGAACTGATGCGAACTAACAAAAATGGTTAAAAAGGAACCAAAAAGGTGTCTCTTTTGTGCCCTTTGAGAATTCGTAAAGTGGCAAAAGTACGGTAAAATGCGAGTTTACGAATTCGTCGGATATGCTTTGGCGTCTACGAAGTCGTAAATTCGCAAAAAGAAATTTTTCTATGCGCTTAGAAATAGATACATTCGTCTCTTCGGATACTTCTCACCTCAATTCGCCGTTATTTTTACGAATTCGTAGAATGGGAATTGATATCGAGGACAAAAAGTTTTTCTATTAGCCTAAGAAAACAAAGAATCGTCTCTTCGCATCAATTCGTTTAATCCTTCGTTAAAATTTTTCGCTATGTTAAAAATAGATAGAATCGCCGCTTCGTATCTCTTCGCATAGATCTCAGATCAATTCGCCGCTATTTGTACGAATTCGTAAATAAGAACTGATGTTCGCAGTTTCAAATATTTCTCTTAGGCTAAAAAAGGATAGAGTCGTTTCTTCGCATCGATTCGCATAGTTCTCATATTAATTGGCAGACAATTTTACGAATTGGTCCCATGTACTTTAGAAGTTCAAGGCGTAAATTCTCATACCTCGGACATCAATTCAATGTCTAGTCTGTATGTAAATATTGTTAGCTTTTAATTTTCTTTTGTTTCTATTTTATTAATAAACTAATAAGGCGCGCGTAATTCAGACTTTCGATAGTAAAAACGTTTATACACATATTCTGATTTGCCTGGAGACGCTGAGCACGAATATTACCTTTTTATTGCAATTTGAACGCTTCTTCACGGAGAAAAAGGCGAAATACTGCGCATATCTCATAAATGCAAACGAGAAGAGTTTGTTTGGTTTGGAAATAATAATGGTTACAACAGAGTTCTCATGAGAGTATTTCAAATGTATTTGCCACGTGAACTGCAGTAGGGTCTGATTTTCACGATTATGCTTTTTGGAAAAAGCACATGACTTTTTGGGAAGGATTTTTAGATATACAGATATTCAGATATTGAGATACTTTGATGTATAGATACTTAGATATTCAATTATTTAGATGTTTAGCTGTACAGATATTTAGATATTGAAATATCTCGATATACGGGTATTGAGATATTCAGATATTGAGATATACAGGTATTTAGATAAAAGATTCGTTGCAGGTAATCCTTGGATCATTAACCTGGCGCTTAGTGCTCGTAGAAGAAATCTGACATCAGGTTCATATTCAGATTCAGCATCAAATTTTACGTCATAGAAACTATTTTAGAAGTATTTAGTGTCATTCATAAATGAATGCTAGAGATTATTTTGATCAGAAGTATGTCAGTCAAGATCTTATAAATCTGTATCTAAGATCTGGGTACAGATCTTGGTACAAGATAACCACATTATCTTGTGCTTAAATTTTGAAGATCTGTTAACATTTCTGTACTCGAGATCTTGCTTACAAGATGTTTCACTAGGGTAATCATCACAGAATGTTCTCTCTTCTTTTTGCATGCTGTGGAGTGAAAATAAACACAGTCACATGGATAGAAACACTACTAAAGTTACTGTCTGTACCAAAATAGAATGGACTCCGTGGTTTTTTTAATAACTTTTGATAGAAGCCAGCTAGCTAGAGAGCTCCGGCTTTCGCCATAAGAAAGCGGAGGCTTGGGGGCATGTTTTCATAAGCAGAAACTTTTTCAGAAGTGTTTTCTAAAACAGCTTTTCTAGGAGATCTTTGAAAAACCAGGTCGCGTGTAAAAACTTTTTAATAGGATCGTATTGATTTTCCTCCATGGTCTGATAGTCCAAGGTGTCTTCTTCAAAATGAGAGTAGAGCGAAATCTTGATTTTCTGCGGCTCTAGTGTTGTGTCGGATTTCCTACGAGTCCCAGAACTGGCACCCAGTGACCATTGATAGTCTTGAAAACGGATGGACTATAGGTAATCGATCATGCTGAGTCTCATGGCAGTAATTTTTTTAAAAGTTCTAAAAATCTACCGAAAAGCCAGTTTTACGAAAATTTGGGTTTCCGGGCTGTTTTCACCTAATATTAAAAGATTCACTATTCACTCAATAAACATCAGAACGAGTTCAAAACTTCAGAATGTAGAGCTTTTAACCTATTCTATATCCTATTTATTGGAGATCTCAAAAGAAATTTTACAAAACCCTAAGGTTTTCTGGAAAACCCAATA